TAAGATACATTATTTTTAGGACTCGAAATCTTTTTTTCTTTCCATATTCATGCATCTCGATGTCCAGATGATAAATGATATAGTTTTTTCAACATCAAAACAACCTTTTAAGATGGATTTTTAAGGTATACCTTAATTTTACATTTTTACGATTGCAACCTCATATAAATCTTTTCTTTTTTTTTTATTTTGGATTTTGGAATCCACTTAAGAATTGCGTAATGAGCATTTTCAGAAAACTAAAAAATGAACTTGAGTTCTTACACACTTTGGTCAGAGGATCGAAAACTCAAAACGATCTTTGTTCATTTTTAAGATTCTTTTTTTTCATCATACACATATAAAGTGTGCATGCCTTTGTTCTTTTCTAGAGGTTAGTCACTAGGCTATGAATATTGCTCCTCTAAAATCTATGATCTTGAAGGTAATTTAGAACAGGGTTTTTACTAGAGGGAGTGAATGGACAGTATGCTCTAATCTGTTGGCCATTGATAAAGAGCTTATGTAAGAATTTGAAGTTACCAATCTTATGACCAAAAATCTTTTCTTTTGGTGAATCAGTTAACCGGCAATTCCTAATTTAACCTTCCCTATTGATCTAAACCATTCATTAGCAATTTAATAAGATCAATAGTAAGATATAGACTAATTTGTATGCATGCGATGGAGGAAAAATTAAAAATAAACAAAACTTTAAAATTCAAGAACGTGTTAGGCCTCCTGGCTCAATTGTTGAGGCCCCAAGACTCAGTCTTCAACTGAATTTGAAGTTGCTCACCTAAAAATACACCATATAAATTAAAATGAAAGTATAAAAACCATGATAATTCGGATACTGAATACAAAATAAATAAATAAAAAACAAGAGATAATGAAATAAAATTAGAATTGTATGAGAAATGAAACTAAAACACTGTAATAAAATTGGAATTAAGCAAGAAATTATCTGAAAAATGGGAGAAAAAAAAAGAAGCTTATTTGGTCTTCTCTAGGACTATATCATGTTCTCTATACCTTTGGTTATTTTGAGAAGAAGAAAACCAAGTCCTTGAGGGTAATTTGGTCACTGTATGAAATTTAGAAAAATAGGAAAAAAAAAAAAACTCAAAGAAAAAAACAAATAGGACCCTAACACCCAGTTTGTTTGAAATAGAAGCATGAGGCACACAAGTATAATGTTTCAGTCAAAACAGCTGGAGTCAAACAACTGTAGCACGTAAACAATCAATCGACCTTATTTACAGGTACACGAAATATAGTGAACGAAAATATATGCGGTGGAATAAAGCATCTATTTTAAAGATAGATGCAAATAGGTGATCCATTTAAAAACAAATGTGGCTAATAGTTCAAATGTTTTTTTCATTATAATTATTATTTTAATTTCAGAATTTTGTTTTTTTTCATATTCATGATCTCCATATTAAAGATTATATATTCTCTAAAAATTAAGATCAAATTATACTTAAAATAAATATTTAGTGCTAGGCTTGCATTTCGGGCTGGCCACATAGAAACTGTGTCCATAAAATGATCAAACCACCTTAGAAATCAAGTCGAACAATTGTAGCACGTAAAAAAACTAGTCACTTCATTTACCCATACAAGATATAGTAAAATATTAATAAAATGGTCAAACCACTTTAAAATCCAATAATATGGTTAAAGAGTTTTACTTCGCATGAGTATTTCATAAAATTATTTTGTGAAAAATAATTCAAACTATTATTATATTAATTTGGAATATTGAGAAATTTTTGTGATTCAACTTATTAAGATAAACTGGATAAATGACTTAAATACCTTTTGCTTGTTTTGGATTCCGAAATCGAAACAATTTTTTTAATTAAAAATTATTGTTTTAGGTTTAGAACCCAAATTAGACGGGGGCATACATGGTGTGTTGCGACATGTGACTTTAGTATGGCCAAATTACCAAAAGACCGCCACTTATTTTGGGTTTCAAACCTATAAGAAGATTTTTTAATGAAAAAAACATGTTCTCAGTTTGAAATATGGGACGAACAAGAACATTTAGATTATTTGGTTCAAGTGACTTAAGTACGTCAAATTATCAAGATGTCTTCGCTTGTCAAGGATACAAATTTAGAACACGAGGAGCTATTTGATAAATTTTTAGCAAAACTCTTGACGAGGTACATAAATGGGGAAAAAAAAATCAGAGCAATTGATAAATTTTTGTTTAAACTACCTAGTTGATTACTGAATTCTTTGAGGTGGTTTTACCAAGGATACTTTCCCCGACACAAAACTTCTTTTCATCAAAAGAAAGGGAAAATTGCCTTATACTCAAAATGAGCTATATGTGGATCAAACATTAGCAATCCACCATTTGGATTTATTTTTTTTGACAATATTAGTGAACTTTATTAAAATGATCAAATTATAGCAATGAAGTTACATCATCAGAAATCGCAGTAGAAAAAGAACGACATCCCCCTTAGCCAAAACATTAGCTAATTTATTTGATTCTCTATACACATGATGAAAAGAAACCCGTAAGGAAGCACCCAGGTCAATGTGGAAGATGATCCGCCATGACCATCCAATAAAAAATGCCACTTTCCCATAAAATTTAATCACCATTTATCCTAAAGAAAAGTCATTATCTAAGATTTGACGATGATGTTGACAAAGGAAACAAACTAAAAATTTAGGGAAAAAAATATGCCTTTTCTTTAAAAATCTACCCAAAAAACACAGGAATTGTATTTACGTGGTCAAGTGGATGGAAAATGATGTTTTAGAAGGCTTTTTTTAAGCTTGTCTCTTTGTAGTGTAGAAGTAAGGCACGCTTCTAAATTTTTATTTAGAGATACAATTTCAGTGTCAGAAATCTTATGATGACTTAAAAATTCATAGTTCACCTTAATTATAAAATTTAAAATTTAAAAAATGATAAAAATAGAAGAAATCTATAAACGCTTGAAAATAAACAGTCCAAATAACTTGTTGCAAGACACACTATTTGTTGAACTTGAAATTTATTTTTTATTTATATCTATACATTTCGAGATCAAAATAACCAATTAGAAGGTTTTCTAACTTGTGAACACTCTTTTCGACTAATTATTGTGGTGCATCTTGTATTGCAACCTTATAGAAACTCTTACATTTTCTTAATATAAGGTGGCATTAAAATCCAATGGAGCAGAGCCCTTGAGTCTTGACCTTTGAAAGAGACTCTCATTATCCATGCCACGTAGATTCTTACCCAACAAGGAAACAATAACAGCACCTCAAGAAAACAATAAGAGAGAGATGTGACCACCAATTATGACATTCAAGTGGATACTCACAAAGCTCATATTTCCCATATCAATTTATCAACTCATTCCATAAAATAGGGTTTTAAAATTGGAGACTCGAGACTCGCCAGATACTGTATCGGAGCCCAGCAATTCGGCATGGAAATATCATAGGATCGCCCGAGTCTCCTGTATTTTTAAATTTTTTGAAAATTATTTCTTTTCTTGGTTTATCTAGGATTCACTCAATTCAGATAAGGAGGGACCCAGTGTTGGGACCCTAGGAAGTCCCGATCTCTTACGAGTCCCAACCTCTTACTCAAATTTTCTAATCATTAATGGGGCTGAGAATTTTTTTGGATCAGGTTTGGATCCACTAGATCAGGATCCAGATCCGGATTTAAAAAGGATACGTTGTATTTGAATTCCGATCCGATTGGATCCAAATCTAGATCCAAAACTATAAACCGGATCTAAATTAGTTCCAATTTTGTATATTATAAAGTTAAAATATAATTATATAAGTTAAAATAATTATATTATATATATAAATAAACGAATACATTTTAACAATAGTTATATATAAAATAATATATATTATTTTAAAAATCTGGGTAAGATCCGAATCATATCAACCTAACCCAAATCTGACCCAAATTACTATTCGGACCTAGATTTGGATTCAGATCCGAATTTTGGATCCAAATCTTAGATCCATACCCAGATCTTGATAGGATCCAAATTTCGAGTTTCGGATCTGAATCAGGTGAATTCTTAGCTATTCACTCATATAACTATCATGGTAATTTTAGCAAGTGCCTGTAATTTTCTTAGTACATCGAGTTTCACAAAAAAATAATAATAATGAAGTAATCGTGTATACTCTCAGGAAAACGCAATCCACTTTCCGCCACGGGTGAAAAATGTCCTTGGACGAATTTATTGGATCCGAAAATTTGAAATCCACTTAAGAGTAACGAAATGATAAATTTTTTTTTTTTAAAAAAAAAAAACAATATTTGAGTTCTCTAACGTAGAGATCTTGCCCTCCAAAAATTGGATGTTTAGTCTTTGAGACGTTATTTTTCAAGATTGAGTATGAGATTTGAATTTTTCTTCATTTTCTTTGGTCGAGGTTGATTACGTAATCTCAAAATACTCTTAACAGGCTTTGCCAGAGGGAGTAAGTGGACAGTACGCTCCGGCGGTAGCAGGAAATCATTTGAGAATTCTATATAAATGAATACTGGAAAATAAGTACGAATTTCACATATAAGAAGTCAAATGATTTGTGGTAGTTACCACAAAATATTTATGCAGTAAATAGAAAAGGTCAGCCAAGAGGAGAAAAAATAATAAATAAATAAATTGACTGAATGAAGAGAAAACATAGAAACTAAAAGGGAGAATTCACTCAAGGATAAAACCTTCAACGTCCCTTATACAGGCAAAGTGTTTAAAACTGGACCACGAGCTATGAAGAGTTTAAGTATATTTCTCTTTTTTCACTTTATTCATGTTTAATTCTTTTGTCGATCCCAAATAGTTGGGATAAGGTTTAGTAGATGATTCAATACTTTCTCTCTCTTTTCATTTGTTTCATAATTATATTCTTTTCTTTCATGTGACTGATTGATTGTCCTCTAGCTAATTGATTCAAAGGATAAGGTTTGAAACAAGGATCTTTCATGAGGTCAGCCATCATAATTCTCAGCCAAGCTATGACATCTGATCAAATTCTTATATTGTGCACAAGTAAATGTCTTTTATTGTTATTATCTTTTGTTTACCAATAATCCTTGCAAGAGCAAGCCCCATATCTAAAATGGTGAAACCTACTTTTATCCCTCACAATAATTTCTCTCTTATACTTCTTGGATAAGAACTTAATGAAAACATGGCAATCACTACATATTCTGAGGTTCTTCACCACCCTTATAACACTTCCAGGCTCTGTGCTCATTAGGCCAAATGCAATGGCCAGCTTCTCACTGTGATACCTGACTGCACTCTCCTTCTCCTCCTCTTCAATGTCATGTAAAACTGGCTCGGTTTTCGCTTCGTAGCCAATCTCTCTCACACCCCAATTTATTTCATCCAAAAACGCGCTTATTTGCGCAAATTGTGGGTGCGACGAGTCTCCGACTGTGAATTCGTGAACAGCATTGCTCACCTCGATCAAGCTACAACCCGGAGTTTTCCTGACTCCTCTGTCTCTCATTTCCTTCCTAATAGCATCAACATCATCCCAATTCTTCCTACAAGCATACACATTTGACAGGAAGACATAGTTTCCCCCATCTCGAGGGTCCAATTCTAAGAGTCTCTTGATCATTCTCTCACTTAGTTCGATGTCTTTGTGGACCTCGCAAGCATGAAGTATGCTCCCTAGCACAACTGGGTTGGGCTCGACAGGCATTGTCTCAATGAGCACAATGGCTTCTTTCAAGAGCCCTGCTCGAGCCAAAAGGTCAACCATGCACCCATAGTGCTCGACCTTAGGCTCTATCCCATACTCATCTCTCATGAGAGAGAAAAGCCCCTTCCCTTCATCGACCAAACCGGAGTGGCTACACCCAGATAGGAGCCCCACAAAGGTGACCCCATCAGGCTTAATATTGCACTCTCTCATTCTATTGAAAGCATCTATGGCCTCTAAGCCATATCCATGCATTGCCAACCCTGATATAATTGAATTCCAACTGAAAATATTCTTGTGGGGCAATTCTTTGAAGATTTGTAAAGCAATATCTAAGCTCCCACACTTCAAATACATGTCTACAAGAGCTGTACCTAATACCACATCAAACTTGAACCTCTTGTGTCTCATATAGGCATGGATCCATTTTCCCATGTCCAAAGCACCCAAATGAGCACAAGCTGATAACAAGCTAACCAATGTGACCTCATTAACTCTCACTCTCTCAACTTGCATCTGGTGAAACAATGAGAACGCATCAGTAAAGTCCCCAGTGTGGACATAACCAGATATCATAGTGTTCCAAGTTATCGAATTCCTTGAATCCATGGCATCGAACAACTCTTTCGCCAATGCAAGGATACCAGATTTGCAATATCCGGTGATCATGGTGTTCCATGAAACCATGTCTCTCGCCGGATTCCTGTCAAAAATCTGGCGAGCAGCCTCCAAATTGCCAGATTTACAGTAACAATCGATCATGGCATTCCATGATACATTGTTTTTTTTATTCATTCCCTTGAAAATCTCGAGTGCTAGTTCGACATGGCCATGTCGGCTATACGCCATGATCATCGCATTACAAGCCACCACATCTCTCTCTCGCATTCTCTCAAACACTTTGTGAGCAGAACCTAAATCTCTGTTTTTTGCATACATGTCTAAAATGGTAGTTTGCAAATGTCCATCATAATCAAAACCCATCTTCAAAATCGTATTATGAATGCTCTGCCCCACAACAATTCCATTAGATGCAGCGCATGCTCTAAGAACCATCAAAAATGTGTTATTATCCGGACACATTTCGCTACTGAGCATCCTTCTAAAGAAAAACACGGCATTCCCTAGAGACCCACATTGTATAGAAGCTCTAATCATGAAGTTAGATAGAGAAAGAGTTGGGTTCTGGTTGTAAACAAGAGAAACGTAGTGCAAATGGTGAAGATTCAAACATGAAGTCAAGAAATTGGCAATCAAATGGTGGGTTTTGGAGAGCTGGTTTATGATTATCTGAGAATGGATTTGATGGAGTTGGTTGAGAGTTAATGGAACCTGCAATAGGGACAGAAGATGGCCCACTAAATACGATTTTGAAGGTTTTGAGAGAAAAGAGTGCATTAAACTGCTCATGGGAGAAGTAAAGAAGGGATGTGAAAAAATGGTTCATGTCCATACGGGATTGAATGAATTTCAAGATGTATAATTTGGTGACTTTTTAGGTCAATTAGCTCAGATGGGAAATCCGGTGATTTTGAAAGGAATTGCAGTGATTTCCAATGTGGAAAATTTGGTGATTTACTTTTAGAAGGATACTAATTGACCGGTGATTTTGAGTAGGGGAGGCGATTGGTTTAAAAAAGGGTTCCCGGATCCTTCACCCCAACAGAACAATCCAAATCGGCGAATTGGAGTTTCAGATCAGGAATCGGCTTTAAAAAAATTCAAAAAAATTATTAAAAATTATTACATATATTATTTTTTGAAAAAATTACGTAAGAATCTGTTATACTTTATGTTATTACGAATATACCTAATAGTTTTCGTTATTTCAGTTGTATCCGATTTTTATCTTCTATAATGTTATTTTTAAAAAAAGACTTTACCTTTTTTCGGACATTGAACATCCGAATTTGTGGGTTTTTCGGATGTTCAACATCCGAAAATGGCAAGTTAAAACATTTAATTTGGTATTTTCGGATGTTCAACATCCGAATTTATGGTATTTTCGGATGTTGAACATCCGAAAGCAGCGCGACAGTAAATTTAACCTTCGTCTTCCCTATTTTCTGCGTTTTTAGTCACTGGTTCAGTGTTCTTGCTGTGTGAGTGCTTTTGTGCGCCTATTTGATCTCTCATTGGTAAATAATAGTAGATAGTTCATAAATTTTGATTTTCAACAGTGTACATCTTTGACATACAACATTTCTTGGATTTTGAAGCCATTTCACAGAGTGAAGTTATGTGGGTCGATTTTTTATATTTAGATTGCCACTTGATTTTTTGTTAGGATCTATACTCAAGCATAGTAGTAATTTCTTCTGAATTTAGTATAGATTGAATTAATTTGTGTCTCTATTGTGATTGAATTAGATTTTTAAAATTTGTGGGTTTTGAGAACTTGGAATAATTTTTTTTAATTTGGGAGTTTATACTCTTAATAGCACAGAATAATTGGATCTATGCTTATTGGATGTGTTTCTTTCATATTGTGGTTTTGAACCAAATAAGACCTCATGCTGTCCTTGACGTCTTTGTTGCTCCTGTTTATCAATAGATAGGTGACCATATTATTGACTTTAATCTGTTGCTTGTATTATAAGTAGCATTGTTCTCTGTTATGAAAACAATAATTTGATTGTTTCTTGAAATTGAATTTTTTTTTTTGTTAATGGAGTCATTAGGCTATCTATAAATCAAATTCTTCAGTTTTTTATTGAACTGCTTAGTTTTTTAATGGTTTGGTTACTGAGCTAATATGAATTCTTTGTTTTTGAGGGGATGATTTAGTTGCTCATGAAAGTTGGATTCTTGTCTTTACAGTGAAATGATTAGTTGCTTATCAATGTTGAATTCTAGTGAAATGATTTAGTTACTCGTAAAAGTTGAATTCTTCGGTTTTTGGAAGAGGATGGTTACTTGGAAGGGGACTACTGTGTTTTTATTTGTTTATCCATCTAGGGTTTGGTTATTGTTTAGCTAAGGTCCATTGAATTGGACTCAATGTAGTGTTTCATGTGGTTTTGTATTTGCGACTGATAAAAGAAGTGGATGAGGATTGTGCATATCTGGTTAATTATGGGATCTATGTACTAGTTCTTCAAGTACATATATTAAAATAGATTTAAGAATGGGGTCTCCTTTGCTTTTTTCACTTGGTTTTTGGGTGATATTGGATGGTGCATGGGATAGTTTTTCTTTATAATAGGTGATGAACTGGATAGGAGACTGCTTTTGCGCTTTAGGTAATTATGAAAGTTGTTTAGTGGTTTTAGCTTGAAGAGCTTGAATTGGATTAAACTATGGATGTCTATGCTTCTCTCTTTATTTTGTGGATTTGGGTGATTAAAGATGGTAAACTGGGTCGGGATGGTTTATTCAGCTAATAGAGATGGTTTCAAGCAGCGAACAAAATTCATTTTGAGTAAAAAAATTGATCAAGTGGGCAAGTTTTATAAATTGAAAACTTGGATAATGTTTTTTTTTTGTTTTTTCGTTGTGTATAATTTTTTGTGTTGATTTGACAATGACAATGTTCCTTTCTAATGTAGTGCCATTATGGCATACTTAGGTGATGAGCTGGGTTGGATTCCCATTATAGTTGTTTTCTACATAATTCTTCATAAAAAATTTTAAGAACTCTTTGAATTCTTTTTAGTTACCTGTTTGACTCAAAGAATCAATTCTTTTTTTGGCCACCATGTTCACTTATTGATTTCAATTTTCAAGTATATGATCCTGAGTTGGACTAACATAGCAATCTCATTTTAGCACTTTTCTTCTTTCATCAATGGATTTATCTACCTTTCTCTAGTCTTCTTTGTTTTTGGGTGGTTGGATATAATGAAGTTTTGACAGAGCAAATCTTTAACTACCAGTAATTAGAAAACCACTGGGCCAACTAGAGACTTTCCCAAGTTGGCCTAGGCCAGCTAGAGACTTTAATTCAATTTCAAGAAACAATCTATTTTTCCGTTTATTAATAGCATATCATTATTGTTTTATTGTTATCCAGTTAAGTTTTGCATATGTAACCTTATGATTAACATGGTGACCATATGAGATTTCAGTGAATATGAATCGTGTACATCCTGATGGAGGATATCTAAGAGGTCCTCTGAACCCTAGTTTGCTGCAACTTCATCCGGAACATGCATCATATTTTATATGGGAAGGACATGTATATGCATATATTCATCTACCCATTATATTAATTTGTTATTTTTCAATAAATTGTAGTCAGGTTCAAACATCCTATGAGAAGTATACGTATATGTAATGGACTAATATGTTGTCTATTTGTTGTATTTCAGGAGAAACAAAAAATTAGAATTGATAAGAAGACTTATCAAATACATGAATGGCATCTAATATAAGAGCAAGTTCAATTAGTAAACACGGCTGTGATGGGTGCACTATCTATTATTCAGCCAGGCCGAATTGATCATCCTTTGGTCTCGGCTAATGTAAAGAGGTGACGTTCTGAGACCAATACATTCCATTACAACATTCATATTGATGAGATGACACCGATGCTATTTGATATATATGAGATATTCGGACTGGTTGTAGATGGCGAGCCAGTTATATGTCGTCCTATCAGTAACTTGCTACAATAGATAGAAGGCAATTTGGGTATAGTCCCTGATGGCAACCTGTCAGTCCGAAGGCATACATGGTTGAAGAGGAATTTTAGAGAATTACCACCTGATGCAATCGATGTTCAAGTTTATAGATATACTCGAGCATATCTGCTCTTCCTTATCAGCATCACCATATTCGCTGATGCATCAGTTTCAACAGTGCCAAAAAGGTCCTTGCAATTTTTGAAGATATTGAGGGAGCTAACAGATATGCTTGGGGTGCTGCAGCCTTTGCATTCCTCTATGCTGCAGCCTTTGTATTCCTCTATCGCTCTCTTGGAAAAGCTTGTACTTTCCAGCGAAGACATTTTAGTGGTTCAACCACTCTCATGCTGGTAACTTTTTTTAACGCAATAGTGTAGACTGCTTTCCTAAAATATTTAATACTTATCATATCTTAATTTATTGCAGTACTGGTCGTATGAGCATATTATGCATATGAGGCCCATACCGCATAGTATCTCTCCAAATATGCCTATGGCCAAAAGATGGGAGCCACCGAAGAATTATCATGGCAATCCACATAACCTAATGCTTTCCATCGGACAAGAATTTGATAACCTCAAACCTAATGAGGTTAGTGTATAATTTGATATTGATTACTTTCAAATATATTTAAGTATTTATAATTATTTTTATTGACTGATTGCATATCATATAAGATATGGAATCGCTATTTCAAGCCTGATGAGGTCATTTCAGATGACAGGCAGGAGGCATATTAATCTGCAATGTGCATAACGACACTCATATTTGACGATATTGATGAGCCGTACATGCCAAATCATGTACACCGGCAATTTGGAGCTAAACATGGCATTCCTATAAATCTAAGAGGTCTAGCAGATAAGGTGGACAACCAGATTGACGAACTGTGAATGCAAACAAAATCCAACACTGGTTGACTCGTCATGATCGCATGATGCCTGATATTGAAGAAGATACCAACAATGGGTTGCCCTCAGAGGAGTACAATGCCTGTACAACCTAGTGTTTCATCCTATAATGCATAATGTCACTAACCTACCCAAAGACATATTGCAACCTCATAACAAGGAAAAAGAAGATGTGGTTCCTGCTCATGAACCATGGTATATAATGAGCCCTCGAGGTTATGAGGACCAGTTGGTATGTTTATATTGATCTACAAATTTTATAGTCTTGTACTTAGCTATTAGTTCCATGAAATTGTTTAAATATATTAATTACTTATCTTGTTTTTACAGGTTAGTGCAGTTCAGGTATCTACAATCATGTTAACAGAGGCACTTACACTTAAACAAAAGTGGTATCCTGAAGTTTATAATTGCGTTAACAACGCATTTGAAACGTTGCCTAAGTTTGTGCATGTGGATATGGATGACATAGAAGCCAGGATAAGTTTGTGCCTGTGGATATGGATGACATAGAAGCCAGGATGGAAAATTTACAACGTGAATATAATGACGAAGGTGTACCTGACGTGGCTGGACATGATGTAGTGGTGAAAGTAGTCGGGCAGCAAAAGACCTAGCTCCATCCACAAAACTTGCAGTTTAGGATCGCAGAAGATATACTACACAAAAGAAACAGTAACAGTCTAAGAGAAAGGGATCAGTATAATGAGGGTTTGACCTTTGTAATGTATTAGAACACTTGGTCATTATGACCGTTGTAATGTATTGGTCATTTTGATCCACCCAATTTGTTGAATGAATATTGTTAAGTAGAATTTGGTTAAGTCATTCTACTTTCGTTTAAATCTTTCTTGGCACGGTTTGCCTTCGTCTCAAGATCGGCAAAAGACTTTCTACTTTTATTTAAGTCTTTTAAAAGAATCCCATAGGAATATTTCTCTTAGCAAAACAAATCTTGATTTACGATATGGGTGCAATTTGTATAGAACCGAAGCTCTAAACAATCAAAGTAAAACGTGCCTTCAAATAGTGTCGAGAAAGGTGATTCAATATTGGAAATCATTCTGATAGCCTTAAAATATATTTTCATCTTTATTTATAAAATTTAAGGCTTGAAAAATAGTGTAGATCGAGCAAATCTATGACAACTTGAAAATTTTGAAAAATGACAGTCCAAAAATGCGTTATAAGATGCACTATTTCCAAAACATGAAATCCATTTTTTTCTCATGTCCATGCATCTTGATGTCTAGATGATCAATTTGAGGATATATGGACATCAAAACGACCTCTTCTAGTGTTATTTTTAAGGTAAGCTCTAATTTAATTTTTTTAGAGCCAAGGCTCTATATTCATATACATTTAGGATGTTCAACATCCAAAAATATCAATTTTTTGGATGTGCAACATCTGAAAATGATTTCCGATGTTGAACATTCAAAAAAGTGATATTTTTCGATGTTCAACATCCGAAAATATCAAGTTTTTGGATGTGCGACACCCGAAAATTATTTCGGATGTCCAACATCTGAAATATTGAACGTCCGAAAATATCACTTTTTTAGATGTCCAACAACCGAAATCATTTTCGGATGTCGCACATCCAAAAAATACTTCTGATTAGAAAATAACAAAAACACCCATACAAGTTACAAATGTATTTAGATCATTTAATATTGGGTGTAGTTTGTATAAGACCTTCTGATTACAAATAACAAAAACACCCATACAAGTTACAAATGTATTTAGATCATTTAATATTGGGTGTAGTTTGTATAAGACCGACGCTCTAAGCAATCAAAATAATGTGCACCTTCAAATAGTGTCAAGAGAAGTTTAAATACTGAAATCTTTGTCGGAAAAAGTTTGCATATGGTTGCAACCTTAAAATATAGCATTACAAATGCACCTAAAAACTCCACCATAGAATGTTGTGTTAATGTTGAAAAATATTTTAATAGAAAATCTCGACATTGAGATGCATGAATATGAAAAAAAAAAAATTTATTATGAATCTTAGAAATAGTGCATCTCGCAACACATTATCTAGACTGTCCATTTTCAAGATTTCTATATGTTTATAGATTTACTTGATTTAAACTGTTTTTGGAGTTTAAAATTTTATAATTAGATATGATAATAGATTTTTAGATAATCCTAAGAATTTTTTACATCAAAATTACATGTTATGTTAAAATTTGGAGGTGCGCCTTAATTGAATTGTTTAAAGTTGCACCCTTATAGAAACCACACCCATCTTTGTGATGAACTGAAAATTGATTTTCTTCTCTAATTATAAAATTTAACACTTCAAAAATTGATAGTCCGAAAATGCATTACATGATGCACTATTTCTATTTAGAAAGTAGAAGTAGGGAAGTAAACAAGCAAGACTAGAATATCATTTCATAATAATCATCATCATCATCATCATCTGGGCCTCCACTTTCAGCTCTATTTCGGCGCACTTCAGTCAAAAGCCTAACAGCCTTCAAAGGCCTCTTCATCCTTCAATCTCATTTGGTCCTCTTCAATCTCATTTGCTCAGCTTGGGCGTGCTTCTCAGCTTCCATCCCTGCATTTTGCTCCGAGGCAAGCTGCCTTTCAAGATTTTCAGTGGTTTTCTTCTCCACCTGGGCCACATGCAAGAAATGAGGAAGCAATCAACTTTGCATCAGTATGAAATTGGCTCTCTCTGATGTTACGAAAACGATATTGATCTCTTCATTCTAAACCTCATTTTTGCAGGTTGCTGATGATCTTGATCGTGCATATATGATAAAGAAATCCACATAAACAAGCAGAAGGTGAAAGAGGACAACAACAGAAAAAATACCATCTCAGTTCTCAGCTGAAGCTGCCCGGCATGTGATTTATCCAGTTGTTCAGTAAATGCTGAAGTATCATGAACAGAATGCCCTTCTACTGATTCAAACTCTTTCTTCTGAGAAAGCAAGTTTAGAACCAATCGGCTAACAAATCAGTAAACAAGGTGTGCTACAAGTAAAAGCTTAAAGTGTCCCGTAACAGCCCCAAGTGAGGCAAAGTTAGAGCGTCATGAGTGCATTTAATTAGCATGAGAGAGAAAGAAGGTCCTCAAAGGAAGAATGGGAGGCGTGAAAGAAGTAACAGGAAGAGTCATGTGTGCATGCACGCCCATGCGTGTGTGCCTGTGTATGTGTGGGTTTGAGAGAGAGAGGAATAGGGGTATAACATTAAAAGATTTGAGGAGGCAGAGCACCATGTCTGGTTTGTGTACATTGCATACATAGCAACACGCATGTGTGATGGCTGATATGCATGGGTGAGGAAGGGAGGGGGAGAGAGTCCCCAAAATGTAAGAGAGAGGCATGAGGAAAAGTAGGGAATAGCCCAATGAAAGAGGCGTGGGAGAAAAATAGGAGAGGGAGATAGAGGAATATAGGAAAAAAGGATATCCCCTATTTTTCTCTTCTTCTCATCCAATCTCTAGGTCCCACCTCTCTTCCATATCCCCCTCCTCATCCCTCTGTTCTATTCTTCTCATCCCTCTGTTCTATTCTTAGCATAACAAAGTTGAGAAAGTTTTACGACCTTGAGTTCGTCGAAAATCTCATCCGAACAAGGTCGTCCACCATTCTCTGCTGTGATGACATCAACTAAGTCTAACAACAATTGAACCTGCTCAACTCTTTTACCTTCATCCTTAGTTATATTATCAAAAAGAACCATCCTGTGATTGCAGAACTCCAAAAGCTCCTGCAATGGGCCCATTGCAGGAATTAGAGATCTCAATGCAGGCACTTTCTATTGTTTAATCATGCCAAGCTTTATACAGTGCAGAAGCAAATTGTGACACCTAGCATAAATATTCAATTCAAAACAAAACCTAAATAATTTGCAAAAGGCAACGACACACAGAGAAAGTAAATTGAGAAACAAAAGAGAATGTCTAGAACTCAGGGTGTGGACTCTAGTTGACCTCTTTGCCAGTAGACGCAGCATAGCCACTAGGTATCAACATGGCCCCTAGATGTGCATGTCTACATGTGTGCATTACAAACGTACACATAAACTAGAGGAATGAACTAGTTTTACTAGACAAAGAAATGGATGAGGAATCTTAGTTTCAAAGGAATACATAAGGTTTCCAATATTCAGATACAGGAATGTATACCGCATTTCCTGTGTATGGCATACCATACACGAGTGGCGCATCTACATCCATTCTCAGAAAAATGGAGATCAACCATAGCTCCAGATTAATATGTGTGAGATGCCAAAACCCAAAACAGCTTAAAAAAACCAGAAAAAAAAGAAGTATTCAGGAACCTGAAATTCCAAATAAAATCAATCAGAAATAACCATGATCCACTATCAGTCCGGTGAACCTCTTTTAAAAATGTTTATTTAAAGGGATTTATTATCTGAAAAGATAAACTTAATCTCCAGGAGAGAAATTTGAAGAAGGGGTAAACAAATAGCAGGGTTATCTAAAGTATGAGTATGAGTAAGCTCCTAAGTGCTGAGGGAGCTGCCCTCCCAGGAACTCCCCGCAGGCTCCCTCAGTTCCAAGGTGGTGAAACTACCACTAATAAATACTAGTCCAAAGAGATAAAACCCCCTCTCTAAATTATAATCCCAAATAACCCCCCGGTCCTATGAATATCCCATGGAACCCCCCAAGTTTTAAAACAAAAAAAGATGTTTAACCCTTTCTTTACCTTTTTCATTGTCCAAATTAAAGAATTTACTACTTTTTTCTTAGTCACCATATTATCTAAATGAAAAGCTCTCTCTCTCTCTTTAATCCTCACCTGTGGACCTTTCTCTTTAATCCTCAACTGTGGACCTCTTCCTCCCTCTCTTAGAAACCTTCCCCGAATATTTATCACTGTCTCTCGTCTCAAAAACCTCACAAGTAAGTTAAAAGAAGCATCAGAAACTCGATTTTTATGATGAGGTTATTCGAAAAAAGAAGAAAGGTCAATTCTATAATTTGGACAATAAAAAAGGTAAGGAGGGTGTTAAACGCCCCTTTTTTGTTTAAGTTGGGGGATTTCATGGGCATTTTATGGGATTAGGGAGTTATTTGGGATAATAATTTTAGCGAGGGGGATATACATCTTTTTCCCTAAAAATAAAGCGAGTGCCAATTTTTGACATAGAAAATTTGGGGAATTCTATAGATAGCACATTTCCATCACAAAATACAACATATTTGAGAAAAGATATTTATCAAAAGACACTAGCAACATAACACATAGTCAATGACAGCATTGGTGCCTCTCAAAAAGAGCAGCATTGGTGGTTCGATATTTTAGGGAAAGAGTACCCTTTTCTTTTCTTGTTTTGGTAGACAGATCACCGAAACACATTAAGGAACATATTTCTACAAGTTATTTAATCTTTTGATGCATTCATTTCATAGTGTTGTCATTCCTAAAATGTACTCAACATTTTTGGACACTTGATACCTTTACCCACATGTAGTAACTTTTTTGTCTAGGGCTATTGTAGGTAATTAATTAAGGGTAATGTAAATTCTTTGATAGAAAGAAAATCATTTATTAATTATAGTGGAGAATGACATCATTCACATTAGGTGTGAATTGTGACATGACATCAGCCACATGGAACATTAATTGTTTTTTAACTACTAATAGAATACCACTAGTTTCTTATAAAAATATCTATTCTATCGCTCCTAATGAGTACAAAACACTCTTGCCCCGAAAATTTTTATCTTAAAGCAAGAGTAATGAGTGTCCAATGAATGTTGAGTACATTAAGCAATCATATCCATGTATATTTGTTCCAGAAGCAATCATATCCATTTATAGCATCTATATGACTACGTGAGAATGAGTGACATTTAAATGGCTCACAAGGTTTTCCGTAGATTTCATATTTTTATCATTCATCCACAGACTCCCAGTCAAAAGCATGATGAGTGGGAAGGAATAGTTGTTTGTCCTAGCAAGTTAATCCCACGTAATATGAGATATAAAGGTTTTTTGTTCCCAAAAAAGTGTAAAAAGAGATTCAGAATAACGTAACGCAGCATTAATAACAAAGAAATAACATTACAATGACTTATGAGCTTTTCACCACCAAATTGCTTATCATAAGCAGGGCACTCAGTCTTTTTATTGAATGTACTGGGGCCCTAATAGGAAATGGGAGGAATTGAGCCCCTATCAACCTACCCCTACAGGCATAATAAAATCAGAAATTTGAACTTCTTGTGTGGCCTTAACCTTGAAAACCTATTTAAGAGATCCAATCTCAGGTAGGGAGACTCATTACCCTCTCATTTGTATGAAGAGTCTTCTCCAACATGAAGAATGTAAATGTGATCCAATGCAACCTTCCCAGCTGCTGCAAGTCATGCTGCCCTTATTTCTAGAACTAAAGACCTGGTTGCTGCAAGAGAGGACATCAGAGAAGTTGAGGAAGAGGTTTGGGTGAATGCCTCAAGCTACTGCAAGAAGTCAATTTGGTGAATAAATACTCATTTCCTAGGTGGAGAAACTCGTTGAGTCAACTCAACTCATCGAGTGGGTAAGTTTTTCAAAATGAAAAACTTGGCAAGTTTTTCGTATAGAAGCCATGCAAACTACTATTTATTGATAAAGGAAAGAAGATAGCACTAACCATATGTTCCACGTCAATGATCATCGGTTTAATATCCTAGAACTCAAGAAACCTTAAAACACAATGTTTGATGTTAAGAACCTGTGAATATTGAGGTAGTTTCTTGACCTAGAGGGTCTCATTCAAAAAGAGGTGTCTCATTTTCTCAAATGAAAAGCACTATGAACTTGCTGAAGAATATTAGAAAATTAGAATCAAGACCAATGTATACTCCTGTTGAGTAGGATTACTGCCTTCAGCAGGATCAAGGTCAGCTGTTGAAGCTTTCAGTATCAATGCATAAATCAGAGAATGGTGGAGAAGCACATCAATTTAACCATCACAAGACCAGATCTTGAATATGTTGTGAAAGTTTTCAGCCAATTCATGCATGTACCCAAATAGCCTTGTTTGCATGGTGTTATTAGGATCTTAAGCCATCTAAAGTCATCTCCTGTGAGAGCATCATTTTCATACATACATCCATTTCTGATACAAATTGAGCTACCTCCCATTGTCAAACTAGTACTGGGGAATACATTTTGTTAATAGGAATATTGTAGGGTTATGGCACATGGTTCATGCAAATGAATATGGTCGAACAACTTAATAACAAAGATCACTGTAAGGTGCACCCTAAAATGGATATGTTCGATGATAACAAAGCAACCATAGATAATGCTCCCAATCGTGTATCCCATGGAAGAAACAAACACAATGAGGTAGATTTCCACTTCAATAAGAAGAAAATAACATCTAAAGAAATTTAAATGCCCTAGGCAAAATCTGAAGATCAATGAACAAGATGTGCACCATTTCAGGGATACTAAGGATGGTAGCGATCTAAGCAACAACTTGAGGGGGGAATGTACAATTATCTACATAGTGAAACAACCCACATGAGCATTTTTTCTTGCCTCAAAACTCCCTATCAAACCGAACAATTTCATAATTAAAACATCAAAGAAACTGACATGTGCATCTTTTTTTTATATGTGTACATTTGCATGTATGCTAATGCAATTTTAGCTACTACAATGTTAAGCAGCCAACCTTTAGACAATCAGGAGAATGATCTACGTAATCCTCCAATGTCTCATCATCATTGGCAAGTGCATCTCCGTTAGTGAAAACTAGGATCATGTATCTTGCTATTTTCTCTCCAAATAAAGATTGCAACCTCTTTATGACACCAGCTTCTTGTTCAGTAAACCGATTTGCTACAGAGAGAACTACGAGCACCGCATGGATCCCATCCTTAGCCAATGCCATGCATCTCGCTATCTCCTTCCCCGTATCTAATGTGGCATTAGGATCAAATAATCCTGCAAAAAATGACCTAATTAGAAAGTTCCTTTAGAAATAAGCAAATAAAGCAAAGCATGATGCATATCAAAATAACACATCTAGCACTCCGCAAAATTATTTATAAACTAAATAATCTACCAAACACCATGCAAATAATTTTGCATCAGTTTTTCTTTCGCAAATCAAATAAGTCATATTGCATCAGTTTTTATTTAGGTAATCGAATAAGTCATACTGAAAAATGAAAAAATTACACAATGACTCATGGTAAATCAGCGTGTAGTTGTGTCTACCATAAATCCCACATGTCATCATCCAAGCATTATCCCAATTATTTGGGATTGGCTACATGACTACTATTCTTCCATTCTTTTCCAATCAACGGCCATACCCTCAGTAAGAGCAAAGGTCACCATATATTCTTACTATTTCTATCTATGTCCTTTTATCCTATTAGAGCCTTCCACTTGAACCAAATCACACTTTCTAACTGGTATGGTATTAGGTCTACATCGCATATGGCCAGCCCACCTAAGTCTTCTTTCCCTCATCTTATCACCTATTGAAACTAGTTACATGTATGCTATCTCTTATACAGCAATTATATTTATTATTTCTTAATACTACATATTATACAGTTATATTAGACAAAACTAACTACTATTTATTTTCCCATTTCATATCCGGTATAATGACCACCACCATTATATATTGACTCCAACCACTTCCTAACACAGTGGCACAATATATGTTTACATCAGATGGAAGGTTGAGATAGGCCCAGTAGGACTCCTATCACGAGACGGAACACTAACAAATATCTTTTTCCCCACATTTAACATCTCCAATGAGATAAAACATTCTTGATTCCTTAAAGTGGTGCCCATTGTCCCTAATCACTTCATGTTTTGGTTTTTTTACTAGGGTTGGTATTCAATACATCTAATGCATCATCCCACATTGTCCTTAGAAGAATAGATATTACCGACCGAAATTCATAACACTTTATTTCAACAAATATATATCTACTCTTATTTATGCCTTAATCAAGCCATCATACTCACTAAAATGCCTATTTATATCGTTTTTCATGCTTTTTCTTTTTAAATTTTCGAAAATTATTTTCCCAAATTTACAGTAATTTTTTTATCAATCATTATCATCATCATCATCATCAACGCCTTTTCCCAACTATTTGGGGTTAGTTACATGAATCTTAGTGCACCATTCTATTCTATCAAGGGTCATACCCTCAGTAAAACTATAAGTCCCTATATCATTTCTATAGAATGCCCTAGAAATCCATTGCCTATTTTTCACTGCAGCCCGGCGACACTACGAAGTGTCGTTTCTGGGGAACACCCTAATAGAAACAAAATTCAAACAAGATAGAAAAGTGTATAAGCAGATAACACCCTAGCTAATCCTTGCTCATTTCTAATTGTACCCGGGTTCTAGTACAGCGCGTCGCAAACGAGAAACACCTGAGTATAAGCGGATAACATAGATTCAAGATTCATGGAAAGATATTGATATAAGTTATAATAAATATTTCATTTGTCATAAACTGACAAACAGAAATTGACAAACAAGAGAGTGATCCCATATAATGAATCTACACTTTTTTTTAACCAATATTTGGAATAGGAATCTCTTTTTCCTGCACTGAAAATAGGTATCTTATTGTGGATTTCTAATTGATTGGACAAGACAGTAACTACAATAAATATGGTATGGCATATATATTATCAAGGGAAACTATCATGGAAACACACTTGAAATTCAGCAGTTAGAAGAAGACCCCCTCTGTCTTTCATTTCATGCGGCACTACAAAATCAAAATAATCCATCAAAGACCCCCCTCCACACCACCACCCCCGGTGCACAACTTTCTTTCAATTTTATCTCTCAAAGATTATCTTTTGGAAGTTAATTTATTCCTCACAAGTCCTTTCTCCTTTCTTCCTCTGCCTCATTCCAATATTTCCCCAACCTCACTCCTCTTGCGTAAAATTCCCATCCCGATCTCTCTCTCTTGTCTCTTTTCCAGTTTGACTGCCTTGCTCTGATGTGGCTTGCCACCACCGAGGAACTCCCTCTATCAAGCACGCTTCTCTTCCTTCGTTCTCTCTTAAAAACATTTCTCAGCTCTCTCTTTCTCCGTCTCTTTTACCCATGACCTCCATGTCTTTCCATTTCCATAAACTCTCTCTCTCCGTTTGTCTCTCTCTCTCCGTTTGTGCATGTGTGTGCACTACCACCTCTATCTAGTATGGTCTTATTTCCAAAAGCATTACAGAGAGGGGGAAGAGTGCAGGGAGTGAACTTGGTCCAAGTACTTACAGCCCCAAATACGCCACTGTTAACCTGCACTTAATTTGGCTGGTTTGATCAGCAAGACAGCCATGGAACCTCAGAGGAAATGTAGAAAGGTGTTAAAGAAGGTGAGGAGGGAGAAAGATAAAGGTAGGGGAGGAGAGGTAGAGTGATAAAAGAGTATGAAGGAGTCAAGGACCTAAAGTCGTCACTGGTATCATTGTCTCAATCAACATACAAGGAAATTTTCACGAAGACAAGCGGAGAAACATGAATCAAATATTTGGAGGCATAGATATAAATTGGTAAAATTTTATCAAAAAACAAAAAAAATATTATAGATAGCCTATAAAATAAATGTTAAAGAAAAAAAAGAAAAGCCATAAATGGCTTGTGATCACAATACTCGCGCTAAAACATGCCCTCTCTCCCTCTAACAATGAAGACAGGGAGAAGAGAGAGAAAGAGAGAGACCACGGTGCCACCACTGATCTACAACCCCATAGCCTTCTCCATTTCTCTCTAAAATGACTTGCCTTCCTTCCCCTTTCTAAATGACCTCTCCGCTTACAAACCCAGCCATTAATCACCTTGGGTTCTCAAACATCGACCAGAAATTGACAGCGTGTTATCATCCAAACCCAAAACCGGCCTGGCGGTTTTTCAGGCTAAACTCATTACAATTTCTTTCTTCCCAGCCTAAATTCCCACGCTTTTATCCAACTCCGAACTTCACAACCCTTCAAATTACAATGGTTGAAGGGAGAGAAAGTTGTCTTGGTTTATTAATTTTCTTGTCAATTTTTTTAAAAAATTATTTTTTTGAGATAAATTTGTAAATATTACTATTAGATAAAAGATATTTTTGTTATCTTTTTAATAGGTAAAATTTAAAATTTAACTAAAGTACAAAATCACTTTATAAATAAATTTAAATTTTAACTAACGTACAAAATTATTTTATAAATAAAGTTTTAGAATATTAACTTTCAAAATATCATTGTAATTTTGTGAAAATCTCAAATTTGCCTATGTTTAATAGTAAAGTTCTCATCAAGGGTACCTAATAAAAATATAAAAAAAAATAATCCCCATAAAATAAATTGACTAAAATACCTCTGAAACTTTATGAGGGTATTTTGGTTAATTTTTTTCATGTAAAATATTTTTTTTATATTTTTCGAAGATTTAGTTATTTTTTATGAACATACGCCTAAAATTTCAAGTGATTTGGATTTGTAGAAAAAAATTAAAATTCAAACATTATTGGGCATCCGTAATCATCATATCGACCCAAATTCAATCTAGGCCGTTAGACTTATTTTTACTTGTGAGCATACTAGCTCATATATATGTTCATATGAGCTCAATGGCTTAGATTGAAGTTGGGTCGATCTGACGATCACGACCTCATTTCGTATTTTAATTTTAATTTTTTCTACGAATCCAAATAATTTAAAATTGTATGCGTGTATTTTTAAAAAATAGGAGAATCTAATGAAAAATATCAAAAATAATAATTTGCAATAAATAAATTGATCAAAATACCCCTAAATATTTTGGGGGTATTTTGATCAATTTATTTTTTGAGAATTATTTTTAAAATATTTTTATTAGTTGCACCTTGATGAGAAGAATTGACACTTGAAATTTCAAGTTATTTGGAGTCGTAAAAAAAAATTAAAATTCAAACACGAAATAAGATCGTGACCATCAGATCGACCTAGATTCAATCTAAACCGTTGAATTCATATATATATATATAAAGAGAGAGAGAGAGAGAGCAATGACCCAATACAACGGTTATATCATAGTATAATGCAATGACACTTTTAAAAAACCATGTTTGTAGCATTTGTATGACCTCAAATTTTACGCACACACTCTTTATCTCAATAGTCAATCCCAAAAAGAAAAAAAAGTTAAATTTGAACCCTAGATATGGTCAAAATGAGTCATCTCCAAAAATGAATCTAGACCATTCCTTTTGTGAATTTCAAGATCTTAGCTTTATAAACTCAAAATTATTTTTTTCTTTTTTAACATTATTCATCTAATGATAATAAAGCCATCCAAAAAAATTGAAAATGAAAAATCCTTCTAAAGCCTAGATCTAAGCATCTCATAAAAATGAACGACCTATGTTAATTGGGCTAAAAAAATATTTTCTAGGTTGTATTTTTAATTTTTTCTTCGTTTGTGATTGTTCATTAGAATGAAAAGAGTGTATATGTCAAAATTTGGATCAAACAAATGGCCATAAGATGGTTTTTTAAGGTT